GAGAGAGAGAGAGAGAGAGAAAGAGAGAGAGAGACCGAGACAGAGACAGAGAGACAGAGAGAGACAGAGAGAGAGAGAGAGAGAGAGAACGAACGAAGGAGAGGAAGAGGTAGAGAGACAACGAGACAGAGAGACAGACAAAGGGAAAGAGTGATAGATATACGTAAAGATATAGGTAGATAGATAGATAGATGGAGAGGGGGAGAAAGAGAGGGGGGATTTCAAGATTTGTCAAGATGATTTAATAAAATTGATCTTTCGCCCATACATCCGCACATGATTACACATGGCTCGGCAAATGCGTAAATCGGTGCATCACGTCAGATGAGCAAATAAAATGAGTGAGACAGACAGACAGACAGACAGACAGACAGACAGACAGACAGACAGACAGACAGACAGACAGACAGACGAAGAAAATTAAATTAGGTCCACTTTATAGTTTGCGTTTTTGAAAAGAATCAGTTGGTTTTTATTATGTCATGTTGGTAAGGGTTTTTTTTAGAAAGACTCTTCACTTTTGATTGAGAAAAATTCAGTCAGGTGAAGTGAAGTTGGTTACCAGTCAGTGTTAACATATTATTTAAAGAAACGTGACACTAAGCACCATCCCTTCAAACACAAGAATGAAACTTACGATCGTCACAACACACGTAGTTGTACAGAATCGGACCAAGCATATTTTACGTTCCTTCTTAACAAAAAGGTGAGGCATCGTGGTGAAATCAGGCGCTCGTCAAAATATTTATTCGAAGAAATCTGCAATTGTTCTGCCCGTTTTGCTATTTTTATCGAATTTTAAAATTAAAATTATTTTGCTCAACACTTTTAACATCCTTTTAAATACACATTTCTGTATGGATGTTACAGAAAGACATTGATTAAAGTTAAAGGCACAAAAAAATGTAAATTTCCAGTTTCCAAAGACTCTCAACCTTTACAAGTCACCAAACTTTTGCCGCCATTTTCTCACTAATTTTACCTCTCACACCAGGCAGCCCGCGCCTCCTTCAATTGCAAATTAATATTTCGACTTCTATTCGAGATAGATTGGGGGGGGGGGGGGTGTGCTCTATGCAAGACAAATGAAATGATGACTCTATATGCCCCAAAAAATTGAAGAGCGCCTGATTCCACCGCGTCGCGACACTTAAGATTATGAACGCTTATTCTACTTTTTAATCTTGCGTTTCGGTCTATTGTGCGTGAGTATGTGTGTGTGTGTGTGGGGGGGGGGGGGGGGGGGTAACAAACTCATGTGTCGTTGCACGGACACTGGTACTCCATTTTATGACCGTATCACCGTTTCTTTCCTCTGATATACCTTAAAATCAAACGCTGAAATAACCCAAGAGAGACCAGCTGTGATGCTAACATCTGCTGCTGTTCCTATTGATTCCAGGCCGTGCATTGACGTAGCCAGCCCAGAGTCCTGCCTTAAGTTTAGAGTTTAAGAAGCCTTGCCAAGCGCACGGAAAGTGATATTCAAAGATGATATAAGAGAACAAATCTAGATTTATGTGTGTTGGTGTGTGTTACTGAGTGGTTTTCGTCCCTTCCAGACACGTGGGTTGAGTACACAGTGTAAGTGTGCGATTTCAGCGCAATTTTTTCAGCTTTTCAGTGCTTATTTCTGGAACTAAAATATTCGAAATTCATCTGGTGATTTTTGCCGAATAAATACGTTTCGTCCTATGCCCATTAAGTATTTGGGGTAGTCTGTGTTACTTTTACTAATCACATTTACTCATTTATTATAATCATAATAAAATTCGTGTTTCGAAGTTATCGGTCTTGGTATCAACACACTTTGCTTAGATCAGTTGTCAAACCAAAGAAGAAAATGTGCTCTATTTCTAATAGTCTAGTTTTTAAAAAGTGTTCTCTAATTTATTGGTGATGTTCACACTATTGTTGCCCCTTTGTTGTAGGAACATTGAAGGCTACTTGGAAAAAAAAAACACACCCAAAAAACAACAACAGTAGGCCCTACTTGTAGTTAAATTTTGTTTGATTTTTCGTCTTTCATGCATGAGACGTGAGGTCGCTCCTCTCTATGTCATCGAGTATTTCTTTGTTTCTGTTTGGATGCTTACCACACACGTCCAATAGCTAGACTCCCCCCTCCCCCCTGCCCCCTCCCCCTATAGTAGTAGTAAGTGTTTTGCGGCACTTGCAACACAATAAGGTCATTGTCATATAACTGCCAAAGATTAGAGGTGTTACAAGGGGGTAACAAACACAAAGAAGAAGAAGGGGAGATAGGGATGATAGATGTTTGATAGGAAAGACGGAGCAAATCATACCAGAGCACCTGCCAACCACCCAGTTTCCCATAAAGTAAGCTGATAGGGCAACAGAGCATTTTGTATCAGAGGTTAAAGAGTTCTGCCCTACACCACGTACACTTTGTTGCACCTCACTAATTCAAATGTTGCTTGAAAGCCTAACTGTGGTTCGCTACTGCTCTGCTAAGTTATGTTATTAAGCTGGAAGTTTGATAAAAGCAGCAGGACCCGATGAAGGTTCATTAAGAGTTTATTTATAAGTTTGATATAGATCTTTTGTCAGTCTTTGTGTTTTGTTTGTAATTGTTTCTTGTCTCTATTTGATGTGTGTGTTTTTTGTGTGCTTATTTTGTTCTGAAGTTGTTCCTGTTGTTGTTTCTTGTTGTTGTTGTTGTTGTTTTCCGTGGAAGGTGGGGCCGGAGGGTTAGGTTCTTAATTTTTTCTTGGGGGGGGGGGGGGGGGCTGAACATAATGACTATTTCTGTACAATGGACTACATTAACTCTTTTTGACCTAATAAGTATGCTGTAGCTTATATAAAATCAAAATGAAGAAGAACTTTATGCATAAAAGAAACAACAATTTGAGTGAATGAGCAGAAAATGTTGTGGAAAGATCACATAAAGTACTAGTTTCTACTCCATCACATATCTTTTTCACTCAACATATTTCACTATCACAAAGGAGATGAACGAATAGACTTCGAAAAGTAAATATCACTTTAGAGTTCAAATAGTACTAGACTTCTGAATTTTGGACTTCATTCACGCTGCAAACTAAACATGGTGGAAACGATTGAGAAATGTTATGAGGCGCGTTTCCTAAGACGTAATTAGGCAGCAGTGATCGAGAACATTGAACAAAGGGTATTAAACTTTGGTGATCGGGTTGTGGCTGTCAATTTCGATTAACAAACTCAACGCAATAGTAACGTTAACTAATGGCGTAAGAATACAAATCGAATTTTTCGTAATTAAAATAAAATATTTATAGATATTGACAGAAAATTCTAAAGCTCACAACACTCTCGAGAGAAAAGTACCCTCATTGCCCAAGTATTAATTGAATAATGGTGATACGTGGTGGAAGAAGAAGAAGAAGAAGAAGAAGAAGAAGAAGAAGAAGAAGAAGAAGAAGAAGAAGAAGAAGAAGAAGAAGAAGAAGAAGAAGAAGAAGAAGAAGAAGAAGAAGAAGAAGAAGAAGAAGAAGAAGTTCAACAACAACAACAACAACAACAACAACAACAACAACAACAACAACAACAACAACAACAGCAACAACAACAACACAACAACAACAACAACAACAACAACTACAACAACTACAACAACAACAACAACAACAACAACAACAACAACAACAACAACAACAACATCAGAAGCAGCATCAGCAATAGCAAAAAACGAACAACACCAACTCTGTCAGTTTCTTCTATTTGAAGGCGAATAAAGTACATGTATATCTTATCTCACCTGACATCTCGTCAGTCCACGTATCGGATTCATTTTTCATGATCAGCACTTGTACTGTAAAAGTCAGACTGCTGAAAAATCCAAATTATGTCGATTAAAATTTTCTTCTTTTTTTTTTGGGGGGGGGGGGCAAAACAATCTTTTAACAATTCATAAAACCAGTTTTCCTTTACGTCCAGACCCCCAAGGAAGACGACCCGTGTAGTCTGTCATGGCTCGGATTTTCAGAAGAAGCCGAGGGCTCGTGCTCAAACTGATGTTCGTGGCAGTGGCGGTAAACATTGTAGTAGCCGTTATTAACATAGAGAGTTTAGGCAATCTACTCTGGCGCAGTGAGGGGGAGACCAAATTGGTACCTCGACTACAGGTGAAAGACAACAGCAACGCTAGCAAACTTGGTGAAGAGGTTGATGATATATTTAAAATGCCTGAATTAAATAAAGAGTCAGAGGTGAGTGTGAAGGATCATTTACCCGGCGAGCATGTGGAGAAAAAAGTAGGACCAATTGTTTTAGAAGAGAAACAGGTGGAGGCTATTGCAGAAGACCAAGGAGATCTTGTGGTAGAACCAGCGGGGAAGAAAGACGGAGATGAAGTCGACGAAGGTATTCGTGGGGACGAAATTCATGAAGTAGACGATAAGGGAGGCGAAAAGGATGGAGGAGGCGAGGAGAAACAACCTCATGGAGACGTGGAAGTTGAGGGTGAGGAGGAAGATAATGACGATAATAAAGCCCTAAAGAAAAATGTACCTGATAAAGGAGAGGAGCAAAATGAAGGGGCGGAGCAACAGGAAGGGGCGGAACAGCATGAAGGGGTGGAGCAACAGGCCAACGATGGTGATCTCAAGAAAGAGGCGGAGGCTGCCGGAGGAAATGGGGAGCAGCCAAATGAGGAAACCCGGGAAGGAGTGGTGCAGCCAGGTGTGATACCAGGGGCTGAGGTTCCGGTCCAAGCGTACGTCCCCCCAGGAGCTGACCTGGACATTGTTGTGAGGGACCCAATCAATGGTCCAGGTGAGATGACGTGTTTTCATTTTGCTTGAATACTGGTGATGGTAGTGACTGTGATGGTTGCGATAGCGGTGGTGGTGGTGGTGTTGGGGAGTGTGATGGTTGCGATGCCCGTGGTGGTGGTGATGGTAGTGACTGTGATGGTTACAATAGCGGTGATGATGGTGGTAGTGACTGTGATGGTTGCGATAGCGGTGGTTGTCATGGTGATGGTAGTGACTGTGATGGTTGCGATAGCGGTGGTTGTCATGGTGATGGTAGTGACTGCGATGGTTGCGATGCCGTGGTTGCGGTGGTAGTGGTGGTGAAGGTGTTTCTAGATTAAGCAAATCTTACCCTGCCAACCCCAATCACTGCGTTAGTTCTTTTTTCACCCAATGCTCCCTAATTTTCTTTTCCCTTGTTAATTCGATTCAGTTATAGAATTCACTCAATTCCTCTTTCAACTTACTCAACATTCCTTTCCCCACTAAATCCCCTTGCATGAATGAAAACCAGGCCATGAATTAAACTCGTTCTACCTGAGCGACAACCATACATCTCCAGTGTGTGTTTCGATCCGACTTTCAAGAAAAGCTTATATTAGTTGCCATCCCCCCTGCAACGTTGTATTTTCTTTCTGTCAAAGTCTACTCTTAGTCCTTTAAAATGCTTCTTAACCAGACAGATGAGGTATTTCCAAATATCCTGCCTTGTTTGCTTCTATGAATTTTTTCTGAAAGCACCATAGAGAATCGATACATATTTTAGAAATTGTCTGTTGTTATGGCTTATTTATTTCGCAGCGAAAGAAGCCAGTGTGATGAAATATTGGGTACTTTTTAAATTCATAAAGTATACCAAGATGTTTTCTCCTATTTTTGTTGTTGCTTCAAAGCATGTGATGATGATGATGATGATGATGATGATGATGATGATGATGATGATGATGATGATGATGATGATGATGATGATGATGATGATGATGATGATGATGATGATGATGAGAGCGGAGGAGGAGGAGGTATCCAAGGACGCTTCGGTCGACATTAAAGCCTTGAATCACTTGCTCCCACATGAAGAAATAAGGCAAACGAGGCATAGGTAGACCATCACAGGAAGAACAAGAATATATTTCTTGGGGAATTTGAACAGATTAGTGATATGAAAAAAATATAGGATGACATGAGACTTTTAAGAGCATCCCCACAGGGAAAAGAGGGGGCGAACCATGATCACTGATGTCTGTTTCTGATCTGGCGCTTGACGAAGAGTAAGAAGTTATCGAGAGACGAAGGTCTGATTGAAATGGGATCCTTTCTTACGAACGTGGTCGTGATATTGTACCTGTCAATTTGCTGAAACATAATAGATATGCTTCAGTGAAACAAGGTTTTGCATTTTCAATTTCAGTCTGAGATCTGTTAAGGTTTTGACCATATTTTTCAAAATTTCCGATGTTTAAAGATTGTCTTGTGTACTTGAAAACGAAAAACTCACCCTTTTCTTCGAGAGTGATTTACGAGTAAATCTTGAACTCGGCAGTTTGTTGACTGATCAACCAATCGATTTATATGATACAAAAAGGCATATTTATACTCTTGTACTGTTTGCATTGTCTTCTAGAGTTTCAGAAGCACCTGTTTCGCAACAACAATGTATGTATACCTGCTGCGGAACTGACAAAAATTAAAAGATTTGGCTAGCCAGAGGAAATGGCATGTGCATTCGCTTTTTTTTTGGCACGTTCACTGAATTAGGCCTACAAGACTTTACAAGAATCTTTACCCTATATTGTTGATGTGTAATCCACACAGATCACCTGAAGCAGCCCCTCCTGGACTATGTGGCAAAACTGCGTATTGTGCGCGTGGTCCGGACCACCAAACGTGAGGGTCTGATCAGAGCTAGGCTGCTCGGGTTTGCTAACATCACAGCACAGACAGCCACGTTCCTCGACTCTCACTGCGAGTGTACGGACGGTGAGTTCGAGTCTTACGTCACTTTTCCCACAATTCCTGGAAAGGGGGTGGGGGGGGGGGGTGGTAAGGGGAGTGTGGTGGATAGGAAGGGATGGGGAAAGGGGGCTAAGAGAAAAAAACAAGGGGGGGGGGGGTGCTACGAAAATTGTAAGGTGGGACCGATAGATTAACAAAAGACATCATGACTAGCACTATGCCTTTATTAAAGCAATCAAATTGGTATCGAGCATGCTTCTGGAATGGGCGATTGGGCGATCTTGATTCGAGTCCAAATCGGGACGGCCTTTAATTTAGATTGTCAGGGGAAGTACGCAAGCAGCTTTTAGGTTTTGGATTGTTTGTAGACTTCATAAAGATACGCACATGTCTTTTTAAACAATCGACAGAGCATTGAAACATCACACTTCTCACAGACAAAGAGGCGCATTGCACCCTGACATCAAAGAGACAATACTTATACCTAATTTAAAAAATAATATGGATACGCATAATGTGCATTATTACATATTTTAAGTGTCATTGATTGTCCATCATTGAGAAACTCATCTGAAATGCAGATTAGATAGAGAATTCTATTTTTACCAAGATCTGTACCCACCCATCACATCTTAACCGTACCCCCTTTACCTCAGTGATGTCGTTGATGTTCTAAAGTATGATGGTCTTCAGACCTTTTCCACAGCGAAATTTCTAATGTCCATCCAATCGGCGTATTTTTTTTTCCATTGCGCTTGTGTTCGGCCGTCTTATGACACAAAAACGTAAATGACAAAAATGAAATTTTACTAGAGAGGCAAAAAAACCAAAAAAAACCAACAACAACTAACTCTTTTGTGTGAGGTTCAAATTAACCAAAATTCGGTCAATCTGATAATTTTATGTCAATATTCATTTGTCGGTCTGACTTTTGTCTGATTTGCTGACGAAAACAGTAAATAGTTATGGAGTATTTGATTAAAATTTCTTTGTCTTAATAATATCGATATTTAATTAGGTCACAACACATACTTTCAAAATCTCAAAACTTCCTTCATTTCATTTGTACAGCCATAAAATCAAGATAGAAAGACAAGGCATGAAAAGGATTTTCTCCCCAGTATAAAAATGCTTCTGGACATAATTACGCACGTACGATTTTTTGTCATAATAAGACGGAAGTGATGTCGTTTAGGGGGAGGGGAGGTAGGAGAGAGGAAAGGGGGGGGGGGCTTACAACTCGGATACTGAGCGAACAATGTACCCTAAAATCTCGCCACCGAACACATGGTTTGAATTGTGTGTGGGTCAACACTTAAGAGTTGTTTTTTAATTGAAATGTCGTTTTCTAACATTTTGAGTCGTCCATAGTCCAGTGAAAGAATATGATGTGAAATTCGGTGGCGTCGGTGGCCTAGTGGTTAGGCTCTCGGACTCGCAACCGTAAGGTCGTGTGTTCGAATCCCGTCAGGGGCCCGACGTTGTGTCCTTGGGAAAGGCACTTTGCACAAATTTTCCTCACTTCACCCAGGTGGAAATGGGTACCCGGCTATAGACAGGGAACGATCTTGTCAGTTTG